TCTCCATTCCAGTGAGGCCACAGACCTCTTTGTGGCAGAGAACAGTGGATTTCTCAAGAAGTCTCCAAGTGGAATATTTTGGTGGATGTAGAGGTAAAACATGCAAATTCAGTCCAGATTTAAGAAGAAGAAAAATTGTTTTACCTTGCTTAAAATTCGTAGTCCATAGGCTGTTCTTCCTGGTTCTCCTGTTGCAGCTACAATGCAGTATCTCACAATACAAGAAACGTTCAGGGGTAACTGGGTTGGCCATTTAGCAAATTCAAACAAAAATCCATCAGTGATACCTTTCTTGGCCAACAAAAATGCACAATCTACTTGTGGCAAGCTTTCGAAGCTCCATGAGCTTCTTCTTCATCAGGCAAGATGTTAGCTAAACTAGTTAAAATTAACAAACCAAAAGGGACAACATCTTGCAAAAGTCCCATTTAAAAACTTGGAAGTGCCTTTAATTTCAAGGAGAAAAAAAATAAACCATTTTATGAACAACTGTAAGTCCTATGGAGTGTTGCATTCATGCATTAACAATTTGGTCCATTAGAAAATAAATCAGAATCTCCAGGAGGACAAGACCTTTATTAGGGCCAAATAAAATGGTACAAAATCCCCAGGCAAAGATTATGGATTAGATGCTGCCCTGTACAAAGATCTTTTAATTGCTAGTGCTGTTTTTTACTTTTAATTGCTAGATGCTGTTTTTTAAAGTACCTAAGAAGAGCCAGAGTGGCATAGTGGTTTGAGTGTTGAATTACAAATCTGGAGACCAGGGTTCAATTCTCAGCCCAGCCATTTAAACCCACTGGGTGACCTTGGGCAAGTCACACTCTCTCAGCCTCAGGAGAAGGCATTGGCAAACTGCCTCTGAACAAATCTGGTCAAGAAAACTCCATGATAGGTTTGCCTTAGGGTTGCCATAAGTTGGAAACAACACAAAGGAACATGACAAACAACAAAGAAGAGCAATGCTGGGAGAGTGGGAGTCATGGATTTCCCTGTATCATATCTAGCCTGGCTTTGAAAACGGATGATAGAACACAGGGTTCTATCATATAGTAAGACTGAACCTATTTTGGAAATCAGATTTTGGGATATCTTTGGTCCAAAACACACTTCAGAAATAATCCAGTTTTGAGACCTCTTTAACTGCCCTGGCTCAGTGCTAGGGAATCCTGGGAGTTGTAGTTTATTGTGGCCCAAGAGCTCTCTGACAGAGAAGGCTAAATGTCTCACAAAACTACAGTTCCAAGTAGCAGTGAGCCAGGGCAGTTAAAGCGATCTCAAACTGGATTATTTCTGCAGTGTGTTTTGGACCTTTGAAGCACTGCAAAGGGATGATTTATTTATTTCAAGCACCTAAGAGCAAAAGAGCCAGTGTGGTGTAGTGATTCGAGTGTTGCACTATGACCCTGGAGACCAGGGTTCGAATCCTTGCTCAGCTGTGGAACCCCCCCGGGTGACCTTGGGCAAGTCACACCCTCTCAGCCTCAAAGGATGGCAATGGCGAACCCTCTCTGAAGTAGCATGCCAAGAAAATCCCATGATAGGTTCGCCTCATAGTCGCCATAAATAGGAAATGACTTGAAATGGGGTGACCAGGTGTCCTCCTTCTCCAGGACATGTCAGACATCTCAACCTTTTGTCCAGAAGGAATTCCAAAATGTGCAAAGCAGCACTATATATTTATATTTATATGAATGTTTGCAGCTTTTATTTTGTAGTGTCCTACATTTTGCAGTGCCTTGTCCTCCTTTGCGGTTAGGACATCTGGTCACACTAACTTGAAGGCACACAGCAACAAGAAAGAAAATCAATTATTCTATATGCAAACAATTCTGAGTAAAAAGATTTATCTGTTGTGCAGTGCACCAGATTTTGGGATTATTTCAAAGTGAACATGTATAAAAATCAAGCTGTTTCCTTTGTCCTCAAAATGAGATTTTAATTCTGGCTGAACTTCTGCTTCTATGGTCCGAAACATACTGCAGAAATAATTCAGTTTGAGACCGCTTTAACTGCCCTGTGAGACATTGAGCCTTCTCTGTCAGAGAGCTCTGGTGCCACAATAAACTATAATTCCCAGGATTCCCTAGCACTGAGCCAGGGCAGTTAAAGCGGTCTCAAACTGCATTATTTCTGCAGTGTGTTTTGGACCTAAGATGTCTTCTGAACATGATGTATGATTATTTAAGTCAGTGCTGCTCAAAATGGTGATCCCTTGACCAATGGTGATCCGCACCTAAGCCGTTGGTTGCTTAGTCCCTGGTGAATTTCCAGAAAATATAAGCAATTGTAGGCAATGGGTACAAATATAGAATAACATTCTGGAAAACAGTAATTGCCTGAGAAGCACTGATTTCACTGACCTTTTTCAAACCATGATCTGCCATGTAATGAGTTAGTAAATCAGTATCTAAAGTTCAGGCACACACAAAGAAATCAAACTTCTTGATAAGTAGTAATTCAGTTATCATCTTGCTGCTGAAGAATGGCAACTTTTTGGGCATCTGCTGAGAGTGTCTTAGGAGATGTGCGATGTCCTTGCACTCGTTTCTGAATGTTGCCATTTTGTATTGTAATATTAATATTACTCTATTCTTCTGCATAGAGACAGACCTGTTTGTTCTACGTAGAAGATTGAAGGGCATTGCTGGCAAGCAACTGCATACAGTGCATTTATATTGGGATATGCGGAAGCTGATAGGCTAATGTTAGTGGGGTTATTTTTTAATGTGTGCAGCTTTTATTTTGTAGTGTCCTACATTTTGCAGTGCTTTGTCCTCCTTTGCATTTAGGACATCTGGTCACACTAACTTGAAGTGGAACTAACAAGAAAGAAAAGCAATTATTCTATCCGCATGCAGAGAACCAGTGTGGTGTAGTGGTCTGAATGTTGGACTATGACTCTGAAGAACAGCTATCATATCTGGGGTAACTGTGTGTTGGCCATGTTGCAAAGTACAATAACCTCCAAAATCCACAAAACAGTGATACCTTTTTTGGGCCAACCAAAACATCATGGAAGCTTTTGAAGCTCCACTGGCTTCTTCATCAGGCAAAGATGTTAAAAATCATGAAAAGAGATTCCACCTCTGCATGTGGATTTGTTGCAGCTTTTGGGTCCTTTCTTTGAATTTCCATTGTTGGGTGACCTGCACTTTGTAATGAATAGCAGCCAGTCTTGCATTTAAAAAAAAGCTGAGCCTCACCAAATGCATCTTCATGTCAGAATGCAATATTAGGTGTATTCTGATACATGGGTTCAAAACACACTGCAGAAATAATCCAGTTTGAGACCACTTTAACTGCCCTGGCTCAATGCTAGTGAATTCTGGGAAGCGTAGTTTTGTGAGACATTTAGCCTTCTCTGTCAGAGAGCTCTGGTGCCACAACAAACTAAAATTCCCAGGATTCCCTTGCACTGAGCCAAGGCATTTAAAGCAGTCTCAAACTAGATTATTTCTGCAGTGTGTTTTGGACCCTGGACACCTACCAGTAATGCAGATTCAGTCTGAAATCTTCATTTTGGGACTAAATTATTTCGACTTCTTTCCTAATTCTTTCCTTTTTCTTTACTCATCCCCTATTTTTTTTTATATACATTGCCTGGTGAAGAGTTTTGAATATCATTAAAGCTTGAACAATTTTGCAGCAATTTGTTTTTCTCCTACATCAAAATGGCCACCTTTAAGGTTTTTTATTTGTTTTGTTTTATTTTAAATACCGGTACTGTAGAGACAGTGGAGCATCTTCAGGGAAAAATCAAAGTTAAGCATCTTTCTCCCATTCAGTCATATTTCCTTCATAAAAGATAACTACATCTATAGTAAAAGCAAAGAATTTACTGACAAACATGCACCTATCTTGTTCAGGGTAGGTCCAATAATTAGATATGGTAAGACAAAATCTATTTTGGAAATCAGATTTTGGGTTGAAGCACTGCAAATGGCAGATGTTTTCAGATAATTTGATTTTGAGTTTTCTGATTGTATTATCTTGAGCTACATTATGGACCTTATCACACGGGGGCTGAAGCAGTCGCATCCCCGTCCCTTTGCGCTTCCTTACCCAGAAAGCAGCATCATCCCAGCATCATTCAGGTCGCGGGAAATGTAATTCCCATTTCGACCAGGCATTCAAAAGAACGGGGATGATGCCTGGATGATGCAGCATCATGCTGCATTGGGACGGGGATGCGAGCGGGTTACCTGCGACGTCGTTTGATCAGTCGGGGACAGGAAGCGCGATCGCACGGGGATGCGAGTGCTTTAGACCCCCGTGTGATAAGGTTGCATGATAGCCACTAGAGGTCACATCACGTCCGTATAATAAAATTGCTTATGTGAATTATAAGAAAGCAGGTGAAGGAAATGAATAAATTTTGCATTGTATTATTGAAAGAAGAAAGGGAATAAAACATCCAGCTATATATCACTTTGATCTTGGTTATAGCAAGACTAACTGGACATATGGGCCTGTGAAACACTTTATAAAACTGGGGTTCCTCTCTTAAGAGTATAGTTTTTT